AGTTAAAGGAAGGAGAAAAGGAATATGAATGTGTAAATTAAAGAATTAAGTGATTAAAGTAAAGGTTGGATGCGAGAAGTGGGTCATAATAAAGCGCGTAAAGCAAACCCGGAGAAAGAGGAATGCAGAGGAGAGAGAGAGATTTTGGGGGATGTTAAGTGAATGTATAGGAAACCTTTGAACCCAAATGAGAGAGTAATTGTGGTAGGGACCTGAATGCTAAAGTAGGAGAAACTTTTAGAGAGGGTGTGGGAGGGAAGTTTGGGTGCCAGGTGTAAATGTTAATGGAGCCCTTTGATTGAACTTTGTATAGAAAGGGTTTAGTTTAGGTAATACATAAATTTTTAAAAAAAAGAGGATAAATAAGTATACAAGATATGATGTAGGGCGAAATGACAGTAGTTTGTTGGATTATGTATTGGTAGATAAAAGACTTTGAGTAGACTTCAGGGTGTACATGTTTATAGAGGGGCCACAGAATATCAATCACTTTCTAGTTGTTAGCTACACTGAAGTAAAAGGTAGATGGGATACAAGGAGAATAGAAGCAACAGGGGAAAAGAGAGGTGAAGGTTTATAAAATAAAAGAGGAGGCAGTTAGGGTAGATATAAACAGCTATTGGAGGATAGATGGGCTAATGAGAGCATAGGCAATGGGGTCGAAGAGGTAGGGGTAGGTTTAAAAATGTAGTGTTAGAGTGTTCAGCAGAAGTTTGTGGGTTTCAGGGAAAGTGGGTGGGGGGAGGGAAGAGGAGCGATTGGTGGAATGATGATGTAAAGAGAGTAGTAAGGGAGAAAAAGTTAGCAATATGAGAAGTTTTTACAAAGTAAAAAGTGTGCAAGGAGGGAAGAGTATATGGAGAAAAAGAGAGAGGTTAAGAGAGTGGTGAAGCAATGTAAAAAGAGAGCAAATGAGAGGTGGGGAGATGTTATCAACAAATTTTGTTGAAATATAAGAAAAAGTTTTGGAGTGAGATTAACAAGTTAAGAAAGCCTAGAGAACAAATGGATTTGTCAGTTAAAAATAGGAGAGGAGAGTTATTAAATGGAGAGTTAGAGGTATTGGGGAAGATGGAGGGAATATTTTGAGGAATTGTTAAATGTTGATGAAGATAGGGAAGCTGTGATTTCGTGTATAGGACAAGGAGGAATAACATCTTGTAGGAGTGAGGAAGAGCCAGTTGTGAGTGTGGGGGAAGTTCGTGAGGCAGTAGGTAAAATGAAAGGGGTAAGGCAGCCGGTTTGATGGGATAAAGATAGAAATGTTAAAAGCAGGTGGGATATAGTTTTGGAGTGGTTGGTGCAATTATTTAATAATGTATGGAAGAGGGTAAGGTACCTAGGGATTGGCAGAGAGCATGCATAGTTCCTTTGTATAAAGGCAAAGGGGATAAAAGAGAGTGCAAAAATTATAGGGGGATAAGTCTGCAGAGTATACCTGGTAAAGTGTATGGTAGAGTTATTATTGAAAGAATTAAGAGTAAGACGGAGAATAGGATAGCAGATGAACAAGGAGGCTTTAGGAAAGGTAGGGGTGTGTGGACCAGGTGTTTACAGTGAAACATATAGTGAACAGTATTTAGATAAGGCTAAAGAGGTCTTTGTGCATTTATGGATTTGGAAAAGGCGTATGACAGGGTGGATAGGGGGCAATGTGGCAGATGTTGCAAGTGTATGGTGTAGGAGGTAGGTTACTGAAAGCAGTGAAGAGTTTTTACGAGGATAGTGAGGTTCAAGTTAGAGTAGTAGGAAAGAGGGAAATTATTTCCCAGTAAAAGTAGGCCTTAGACAAGGATGTGTGATGTCACCGTGGTTGTTTAATATATTTATAGATGGGGTTGTAAGAGAAGTAAATGCGAGGGTCTTGACAAGAGGCGTGGAGTTAAAAGATAAAGAATCACACACAAAGTGGGAGTTGTCACAGCTGCTCTTTGCTGATGACACTGTGCTCTTGGGAGATTCTGAAGAGAAGTTGCAGAGATTGGTGGATGAATTTGGTATGGGTGTGCAAAAGAAGAAAATTAAAGGTGAATACAGGAAAGAGTAAGGTTATGAGGATAACAAAAAGATTAGGTGAAAGATTGAATATCAGATTGGAGGGAGAGTGTATGGAGGAGGTGAAATGTATTCAGTATTTGGGAGTGGACGTGTCAGCGGATGGGTCTATGAAAGATGAGGTGAATCATAGAATTGATGAGGGAAAAAGAGTGAGTGGTGCACTTAGAGTCTGTGAGACAAAGAACTTGTCCTTGGGGGCAAAGAGGGGAATGTATGAGAGAATAGTTTTACCAACGCTCTTATGGGTGTGAAGCATGGGTGATGAATGTTGCAGCGAGGAGAAGGCTAGAGGCAGTGGAGATGTCATGTCTGAGGGCAATGTGTGGTGTGAATATAATGCAGAGAATTCGTAGTTTGGAAGTTAGGAGGAGGTGCGGGATTACCAAAACTGTTGTCCAGAGGGCTGAGGAAGGGTTGTTGAGGTGGTTCGGACATGTAGAGAGAATGGAGCGAAACAGAATGACTTCAAGAGTGTATCAGTCTGTAGTGGAAGGAAGGCGGGGTAGGGGTCGGCCTAGGAAAGGTTGGAGAGAGGGGTAAAGGAGGTTTTGTGTGCGAGGGGGCTTGGACTTCAGCAGGTATGCGTGAGCGTGTTTGATAGGAGTGAATGGAGACAAATGGTTTTTAATACTTGACGTGCTGTTGGAGTGTGAGCAAAGTAACATTTATGAAGGGATTCAGGGAAACCGGCAGGCCGGACTTGAGTCCTGGAGATGGGAAGTACAGTGCCTGCACTCTGAAGGAGGGGTGTTAATGTTGCAGTTTAAAAACTGTAGTGTAAAGCACCCTTCTGGCAAGACAGTGATGGAGTGAATGATGGTGAAAGTTTTTCTTTTTCGGGCCACCCTGCCTTGGTGGGAATCGGCCAGTGTGATAATAAAAAAATAAAAAAAAACATCACCCATCAAATTAGCCTGGTCCTGTGGATCGTCAAGTTTAATTTCAACATCTTCATCATCCTCATCAGTGAAGGTATGAACTAGGCACCCACTCTCCTATAACCACAAACTTCTGCCCCACATTCTAATACTGCATTTTTAAAACTATTCCAACCCTCTTCAACCCCCCCACTACTCATACTTGCAGCAGCCCACCTTTCTGCCAATAATTGCTTATATCTCACCCGAACTTCCTCCTCCCTTAGTTTATACACTTTCAACTCCCTCTTGCTTGTTGTTGCCATTTTCCTCTTTTCCCACTTACCTCTTACTCTAACTGTAGCTACAACTAAATAATGATCCGATACATCAGTTGCCCCTCTATAACGTGTACATTGTAGAGCTACCCATCAACCTTTTATCCACCAATACATAATCTAACAAACTACTTTCATTACATGCTATATATACCTTGTATATTTATTTATCCTTTTCTTCATAAAATATGTATTACTTATTACCAAACCTCTTTCTACACATAGCTCAATTAAAGGCTCCCCATTTTCATTTACCCTTGGCACCCCAAAATTACCTACTACTCCCTCTACAACATTTTTGCCCATTTTAGCACTGAAATCCCCAATCACCATTACTCTCACACTTGGTTCAAAACTCCCCACGCATTCAGTCAACATTTCCCAAAATCTCTCTCTCTCCTCTACACTTCTCTCTTCTCCACGTGCATATACGCTTACTATAACCCACTTTTCACATCCAACCTTTATTTTACTCCACATAATCCTTGAATTAATACATTTGTAGTCCCTCTTTTCCTGCCATAACTTATCCTTCAACATTATTGCTACTCCGTTAGCACTAACTCTATTTGAAACCCCTGACCTAATCCCATTTATTCCTCTCCACTGAAACTCTCCTACCCCCTTCAGCTTTGTTTCATTTAAAGCCAGGACATCCAGCTTCTCATTCATAACATCCACAATCATCTCTTTCTTATCATTTGCACAACATCCACGCACATTCAGACTTCCCACTTTGACAATTTTCTTCTTATCCTTTTTAGTAATTATTACAGGAAAAGGGGTTACTAGCCCATTGTTCCCGGCATTTTAGTTGACTTTTACAACACGCATGGCTTACGGAGGAAAGATTCTTATTCCACTTCCCCATGGATATAAAAGGAAAAGTAATAAGACCAAGAACTATTAAGATAAAATCAAAGACAACTCAGATGAGTGTGTATAAATAAACATGTACATGTATGTGCAGTGTGACCTAAGTGTAAGTAGAAGTAGCAAGACGTACCTGTAATCTTGCATATTTATGAGACAGACAAAAGACACCAGCAATCCTACCATCAAGTAAAACAATTACAGGCTTTCGTTTCACACTCACTTGGCAGGACGGTAGTACCTCCCCTGGGTGGTTGCTGTCTACCAACCTACCAAATCATTAATTAACACATGGATCCTGTACTATATGTAGACTAAGGTGCACATAATGGTAAACGACTAACAAGACTTTCCATGAAATCTTACAATAAATTCACAAGAATTGAAAAAAAAAAAAAATCCTATACTAGTTTTCATGTAAAATGAACTGCAGTGATTTTGGGGAACATTGCAGAAACTTGTGAGTGTTCTAAATAGGAGTAAATTGAGACAAGTGGTTTTTAATGGATGTGTTGTTAGAGTATGAGAAAAGTAACTTTTATGGAGGGGTTCAGGAAAACCGGTTATCTGGAGCTGAGTCCTGGAGGAGTGGGGATGTTGCAGTCACAGGGTAATCTGAAGTGTTACATCAAAACACACCGTATGACCCTTTCGGGTTTAGTGCTGAGTTATGATTGTAATAATCATGTGTCAAAACACTTCTGAATGAAAAATGGTGAGCACATTTCTTTCTCTGGGTTGCCCTTCCTTGGTTGGAGACAGCTGTTAAGGTATAAAAAAAAAATTAAATATAACATAGCTACACTTTTAACAGTCAGATAGTGAGACAACTGATACAGACTTGAAAAAAGAAAGATGACTGATACAAACTTACCAGCAATAACAGATGCCAATTTTTTAATTAGAAGACTTCTATCTCTTCTTATCTTTTCTTCTTCGGTCCTGAGTTTCATTTCTTCCAATCTCAGAGTTGAGCAAACCTTTGATGCCTGCAAGAAGTAAATCTGCATGTATTATGTAGTCTTACTGAATCAAAACAAATACAGTGGAACCTCGGTTTTCATGATTAATTCGTTCCAGAAAGTCTGATGAAAACAGAATTGTACAAAAACTGAAGCAATATTTCCCATAAGAAATAATGTAAATCTAATTAATCCATGTTAACAAAAAATACATTTTATAGAGAATAACTATAGTTTTACATACAGAAAACAATGAGAAATAAATATAAATGACTAATGAAATGGATAAATGAACATTTAACATCACTTTTACCTTTATTGAAGACCCTTGTTGGCGTATGGAAGACGGTGAGGAGGGGAGAGGGAGGAGAGGCTACTGTATGGAAGGGGAATCCCCCTCCATAAGAACTTCAGATATCAAGGCCCTATCCGGGGTTAATTCCCTTCTTTGTCTTTTATTGACGAGATCAGCCAAGTGTACGCCACTTTCATACGTTTCTACGAGTTCTCTCTTGAATTCTATCGTGTTTCTTGCTTTTTTTATCAAAGGGCTGGCACTCGGAACTTTCTTGGGCCCCATGGTGGCTTATTTAGCAGTCGCATTCAGTAAACAAGCACAAAAAACAATGGTTTATTATGAAATGTTTCGGATGAACATGTGGGGTAATGCTCACTCAATGAGAATCAAAGCCAGACTGAGTCAGAACACGTGGGATGCTTTGTGTGGGCACGGGCAGGTGAACGCGTTTATCAACTCTACGAAAAATGAGTGGATGTACGAAAATTGGGACAAAATTTCAGCAAAAAGAGCCATCGAAAAGCCAATCATAGAAAAGTGAGGTTCCACTGTAAATAAAATAAAAAATAAATAAAATAAATAAATGAATAAATAAATAAATATATATATACAGTGGAACCTCTGCTTACGAATTTAATCCATTCCGTGACCTTGTTCGTATCCTGATTTGTTCATATGCTGGGTTAATTTTCCTCATTTAAATTAATTGAAACGCCATTAATTCGTTCCATGGGAATTCATGCTGTCAGGAGGCATGACAAAATAGTACTTCAATATGATGCTACGGCTTATTTAACTATCACAATTCATTTAACATGACATAATAAACAATATTAATAACATAGAAACATGACATATACTCTAGAATGAATAAAATAGGCCATAACATGGTGAGTGATGGTGATGCTGGCAGTGGCAGAAAGCATCCGCCATTTAATCTCCCACTCTAGTATCTTCCCAGTCCATAACCCCACACCTTAGTGGTGAGGCTGTCACATATGTAACCACAGGTGTGGTCAAGACAGATGTATATATAGGTGAAGACGTGATCACTGTGGCCACATCAACATTCACCTGATAACATCCAAGACAGCACCACGCCTCCTATTCGTCGATTGGCTCATCGTGGCGGCACAAATATCTTTCCTTCGCCTCCACTCACCACTACACAAATGGACCAATCAGAAGCCACGATTCCACCACAGTCTTCTATACACTCTGTAGCGGAGACACCAACATTGAATGAACCTTCAATGCTGCAACCACCAACAAAAACTTCACCAGTCATCACTCGACATATTAATACAGAAGATCAACACCGAGATCAATACCTGCACTGGAAAGATATAACTTTTTATACGACTCCTGACCAAGAACCCGCCATGAATGTCGACACTTTGTACGAGAAATTACACGACAGAACAGTCAAGTTTACAAATCGTAAAGGAACCCATTGCTCCTTCACAGCACTCAAGATGATCTTTGACCAGTTACAAGCCGACCCAGCATTTCGACCCAAGATTACAAGACTACTCATGGTTTCCTCCCAACAACTGCTCAACATAAGGAATACCTCCAACACTGAAGAAATGATGTAACTCCTGACTCACACTTTAACGACACCTGACCAATCAAGAAGCTAGCCTCCCTTGACCACGCCTCCAGCTTCTGCCAGCCGCCAATCAACATCAAAAATGCAAGATGCAGATAGCTTGCCAGCCAGATGACTGAGTGTTCTCCTGTTTTTTGTGTTGCTGTTTCCGTCTGCTTCCAAGGCTTAGCTGTTGGGTCTAGTCCTGACTCTTCTCTCTTCGACTCAAGACATTCCTCTCACCGACTATTCTTCAAGCTGTCCCCACTTGCCCCTCACCCCTAGTGGGTCCTTACCTGTGAGTCCTCTGTTCTGTTCTGTTCTGTGGCCACAGTGGTGGCCAGTGGTGGTGGTGGCGGCGGCTTTCAGCTGCCTCACTTTCTGCTACTGCCACACACTCTGCTGCTGCCTCACTCTCTGCTGCTGCCTCACTCTCTGCTGCTGCCTCACTCTCTGCTGCTGTCTCACTCTCTGCTGCTGCCTCACTCTCTGCTGCTGCCTCACTCTCTGCTGCTGCTCTACACTCCCTGCAGGCCTGCTACACTCCCAGCATGCCTGCTACACTCCGTGCATGTTCTAGCTACACTCCCAGCATACCTGCTACACTCCCTGCATGCCTGCTGCACTCCATCAAACTAACTATGTAATTAAACTAACATCTCCTCCAAGGTAAATGCAAATATTTCTTATTTATAAATTAAAATGTAAATATTTCTTATTTATAAATTATGTTCATACATTGTTTGTGGATAGTGGTGGTGGCAGAAGCCTGTACGGCTTCTCTCAGTGGCCATTATAAACCCAACAACAACACTTCCATCACTTATCTTTGCATACATTATGACATATTTTATTCATTATAGAGTATATATCATGTTTCTGTTATTAATATTGTTTATGTCATATTAGATGAATTGTGATAGATAAATAAGCTGTAGAATTGATGATAACATCATACTGAAGTACTCCTCTGTCAAGCCTCCTGACAGCAGGAACAGATTAATTGAATTTCAATTATTTCTTGTGGGGAAAATTAATTCGGCTAATGATAGAACTAGTTAAGGACAAGCTCTCTGGAACGGATTAAAATCGTTACCCGAGGGTCCACTGTACATACATTATTATTCAACATATCGGCAGCTTCCCAATGAGGCAGGGTGAAGAAAAAACTTTCATCATTCAACATTTTTACCAGCACTCATACATAATTACTGTCTTTGCAGAGGCACTCAGATATGACAGTTTAGACATCTCTCCAAACTGCCAATATCCTAAACCCCTCCTTTAACCCCTTAACTGTCCAAACGTAGATCTACGTTGTTGAGATTAAGACACATGTGCAACATCTGGGTATCTTTATTGTAGACGTTTCGCCATCCAGTGGCTTTATCAATACAAATTCTAGGACATAACTTGAAGACAGTAGAACTATGTACAGAAGATGAGGTAATCAGTCCCTCAACCTAGGAGTAGGTGCGAAGAGCACCATAGTCGTGGAGATTCTGAAGCAGAAGACAGGATCCTGGCGCTTATAGGTTGAGGGACTGATTACCTCATCTTCTGTACATAGTTCTACTGTCTTCAAGTTATGTCCTAGAATTTGTATTGATAAAGCCACTGGATGGCGAAACGTCTACAATAAAGATACCCAGATGTTGCACATGTGTCTTAATCTCATCTTGTCGGTATTATATACCATTCGTACACATCTACGTTGTTACCCCTAGTGCTCCAAACGTAGATCAACGTTATATTTTTCCTGCCTCTAAATTTGGCATGATTAGCCTGAGATGCCTGGTCAGCACAGAATGAGTCTTAACATTCAGTGTTTACCTGGAGAGAGTTCTGGGGATCAATGCCCCTGCGGCCTGGTCTGTGACCAGGCCTCATCAACCAGGCTGTTACTGCTGGCCACACTCAATCCAACGTATGAACCACAGCCCGGCTGGTCAGGTACCAACTTTAGATGCCTGTCCGGTGTCTGCTTGAAGACAGCCAGGGGTCTACTGGTAATCCCCCTTATGTATAATGGGAGGCAGTTGAACAGTCTTGTGCCCCTGACACTTGTTGTGTTGTCTCTTAACATGCTAGTGGCACCCCTGCTTTTCATTGGGGGGATGTTGCACTGTCTGCTGAATCTTTTGCTTTCATAGGGAGTGATTCTGTGTGCAGGTTTGGTACTAATCCCTCTAGGATTTTCCAGGTGTACATAATCATGCATTTCTCCTGCCTGTATTCCATGGAGTACAGGTTCAGGAACTTCAATCGTTCCCAGTAATTGAGGTGTTTTATCTCAGAAATGCATGCCGTGAAGGTTCTCCGTGCATTTTCTAGGTCAGTGGTTGGAATTTATTTTATACTCTGATGAAATTTTAATTTCCTCATGTTTACCATATCGGAGTAATTGACATTTCTCATCGGTGAACTTCATATTGTTTACTGCAGCCCATTTAAAGATTTGGTTGATGTCCACCTGGAGCCTTGCAGTGTCTTCAATGGAGGACACTGTCATGTAGATTCGGGCGTCATCTGCAAAGGAAGACACGGCACTGTGACTTATATCCCTGTCTATATCCATTATGAGGATGAGGAACAAGACTGGAGTGAGAACTGTGCCTTGCATAACAGAGCTTTTCACTGTAGCCGCCTCAGACTTTACTCTGTTGACTACTACTGTGTTCTATTTGTTAGGAAATTATAGATCCATCTACCAACTTTTCCTGTTATTCCTTTCATGCATTTTGTGTGCTATTACACCATGGTCACACTTGATGAAGGCTTTTGCAAAGTCTGTGTATATTACATATGAATTCTGTTTGTCTTCTAGTGCATCCAGGACCTTGTCGTAGTGATCCAGTAGTTGGGACAAACATGAGCTACCTGCTCTAAATCCATGCTGCCCTGGGTTTTGTAATTGATGGGTATCTAGATGGGTGGTGATCTTGCTCCTTAGAACCCTTTCAAAGATTTTTATGATATGGGATGTTAGTGCTATCGGTCTGTAGTTCTTTGTTATTGCTTTACTGCCCCCTTTGTGGAGTGGGGCTATGTCTGTTGTTTTTAGTAACTGTGGGATGACCCCAGTGTCCATGCTACCTCTCCATAGGATGTTAAAAGCACCTGATAGGGGCTTCTTGC